GTTGGCTGGATGCGGGCCCTTGCAGTTAGCGCACGTTGCGGGTTGCGCTTGCGGGCGGGGGCAGTCGGCGGCGGCGTGCGGGTCTCCGCAACGCACGCAGGCAAGCGTGCGGTGGCACCCCTTGCTCGAGTGTCGGAAGCCCTGGCAGCGATGGCACTGTGCAGGGCCCTTCTTACCCCTCCAGGCTTCAATAGTGATCCCGAGCATATTTAGGAGCTCACTCACCGAGTATATGTCCGGGATAAGGCCAGGTGTGCGCTTGAGTGCTGCGTAGAAGATATATCTGGGGCGGCCTGCTCGCGCGCATCACGTGCTCTGCTTCGTAGCCCTTGGTGGATAGGGCCTCGATGATGCTGTGCGGCTCAGTGTTGAAAGGCAGCCCTCGTATGGCTACCTTTAGACTGTGTTCCTGGGGGAGGGCGTATGAGTACCAACTCACCCCGCTCTGCCCCTCCAGCTTGGAGAGGTAGGCTTGGATGATACGGTACTCGTCGCCGTCAGCTGGAGTAAATCGGATGCCCGTTCCAAAAGGGGCGCGCAATGGGTGCGCGGCCAAGGGCGTCGCGCAAGTGGCTCATGTGAGTGGGCCAGTCCGGCAGGTTCTCGACCACTAGCGGCGGGTATTTGGGTACCCGTTGGGCCGTGGGAGCTGTGCTGGGGACTGGTTGCACGGGCTGTGTAGTGGTTTGCGGTGCGGCGGTGGGTGGAGATTATTCGGCGGCGTGGCGGGTAGGCGCGAAAGTTTTCGCGGCCTGTGCGAAGCTCACCGATGGTGTCGGTAAAGCAGTCGCGGCTTCGATTACTCGCCTTGGGGGGTAGTCGCGCTGCGCTGCTGGCGTTTGTTGCTGCATAGGTGAAGTTGGCGTCTGCTCGGGTAAATTTCTGCTGCTCAGCGACCGGTGTAGGCGCGGGTCGCGCGGGTGTCCTGTACGAGGACGCTTCGGTTCGGTTTTCGGCGAGGAATTGGCGAGGCGGCGCTTTCGAGGGAGTGGCGTAGTTGGAGGCGGAAGCATAAGCGGCGAGCCGCTGAGTGCCTCCAACGCCTCCAGGGCCATCTCGTCGGCGGGGCAGAGGGCAGGTGTTTCTCTCGCCTCGAACTCCAACAGTCGAACGTAGGAGCTCAGCCAACGGTTCAGCCTGTCCGACAGCATGCCGGACCTGACGAGCCGAGCTACCATCGTGGCGTCAAATACATATTTGGCGATGTTATCTCGATCGACTTGGCTAAAACGCTGGCGAGCTCCTCGTCCGAGATCATAGTGAGGCCTTGCGAGGGTGACGGCGTCGGGGTTGGCTGGTTAGCCATGCTGCGTACCGGGGGCTACGCCTGCGCAATCCTGGCCGAGCGGCGCCCTAAGGCGCGCTCAAGGCCTGCGGCTGGGTGCGCGGCAGTCTCCGCTGGCACGGGATGGCGCCAGGCAGTCTCTCGAGGAAGAAAAAAAGCAGAAAAAAGCAGGAAAAAAAACAGATGCTACAGCAACAGCAGTACTGTAGTATTATCCCATTGGCTGAATCTTAATTTGTATTACCTATAGCGCCAATTGTTTGACAACTGCAAGTGGTGCATCCACATGCAGCGCTAACATAAGTTAGACATCGATCGAAATCGGATCGGATTTTGGTACTTAGCAAATAGAAACAGCTTCTTATTTTCCCCACAGCCTGGCTTACGGCCATGAATTAAAGTGTCAGTCAGTGTTTCACACGGCAGTTCAGAGAAGTGGAAACAATCAAAATGTCTGACATCGCCATTGTCGAGTTGATTACTCCTTTCGATGTTGGCGAGCGTAAAAACTTTTAAAACTAACCCATTCTGTCATACAACAAAATTTATAGAGCGGCCAGATTTCACACATCATAATAATGTGTGCGTTAACTGAATTGCGACTTTATATCCTCGCGACTCAAGGTCCTTTTTGTTACAAAAACATTACATCGGAAAATAAACACGTTTATAGAGTAAGTTTTAAGTACCACTTTACGATTCCGTTTTAATTGCTTGGGTACTAAAATTTTTGGAGACCACAGACTTGTTGTTAGTGAATATTAAAATTTGAGACTGTATTAGATTTACGGGCCTCAAACAATCAGGTTGCTGTTATAGATTAGTTACGAACATGTTGTCAAGAGGCGAATAGTCAATCTTAAGTAAAAAAGCCGGCCAACTGCGAGTCCGAGTCGCGCACGAAGTGTACTATGCCATTATCTATAACATTGGACACTTATAAAAACGAGTAATAAACGGCAAAAAAACACTTTTGCTGTATGCTGAGCCCCGTTTAAATATAACTATTATTCCCGTCCGCTGCCTGGTCCGCGTGGATTTTTTTCTAGTAAACTTTTCTTTAAATTTAAACATCTAGCAGTTAAATGCTTAAAAAATAAATAAAATCATAACTATAACTATTATTCTTTTTTTTTATTTATTGTTATGTCGGCAACAGAAAAACATCATCTGTGAAAATTTCAGCTGTAGACTATGACGACTCATAAGATACAGCCTGGTGACAGACAGGACGGACAGTGGAGTCTTAGTAATGGGTCCCGTTTTTACCCTTAGGGTACGTTCAGATGACAAGCGCTTAACGCGCGTTCAACGCGCGTTAAGCGTACAAAATTTTTTGTATAGTGTTTACATGACACGCTTGTCATCTGAACATACAAAATTTTTGTATAGTGTTTACATGACACGCGGCGTCGGGCTTCGAACGCGCGTTGCCGCGACCGTCTGGTATTCAGTACAGTTCTGTAACTTGTTCAAGATGGACGTAGAAACAATTTTAACAGTGATTCTATACCGAAGGCAGAAACGACGCGACAGAAGACGGAGATATTGGGTCCACCCAATTTTGTCACACAGGCTGACTGAAAGCCAGTACATAATTTTGTATCCGAAGTTAAGGCAATTCGAACCCAAAGGAGATTGCTCAAATTGGCCTAAATGCACAAAAAATATTGACATACACGGTAATTCTTGCCGTAATTTATAATTTAATTTACAGTCTTTAGATTTCAACGGACACCTTTGTATAATATATTTACTTTAAAAAAGACTTTTAATTTTACCAGTTTGGAAAACATACGAATAATTTTTAATAGCTATGGGTTGTAGTAACATTCAGCTAAAGACTGATCGAAGTTGTTTATATAACATAAAAACAAATCTATTTTGTAAAGATCGATAAAATAAATCATTTTTTTTATTACACTGTGGTATTAATATCCACAACTATATTATCATTTTCACTAGATGCAAATGTGCTCAGACAATTATTATAGATGGTAGGCGACATCATAAAGTCTATTGCCATACATTTTTCGCCAAACACCTCCATAAACACATTATAATCTGTATATATGTTAGACTTTAAGGTATCTATCTATCTATGGGCCTACGTTCCCTGACTATAAATTGATAAAAAAATGGGTGCGTGTACTTATGTAGGCGCGTGAGAAGTTATCCTTCTTTGGCATCGTTTAAAATTAGTTTTTAATTGCATGCAAATAATTAATTACAATAAATTAATAAAAAGTCTGGAAAAGGACACAGTCAATAAAGTTCAGTTTTAATTTGAAAAAATAAATAAATAATCAAAATATTCAATTAAAATCGCTACTGAATATAATTTATTAGAACATATGTGATTTGCACTTGTATGAAACTCAAACACGTATTCCGAATATACAAACTAGAAACATGTGGATAAATATTATAAATATGAATACCTATAACTGTTACTTTATTACAAAAAATAAAGATGCGGTTTTTGGTTCTACTACACCAATGGTCAAGAGATGGCGCTGTAGTCTCCTGAATCGCGCTTTGGTTCCGTTGTTCCAGATTAATAAATACTTTTGATATTTTAAATATGAATACCTATAACTGTTACTTTATTACAAAAAATAAAGATGTGGTTTTTGGTTCTACTACACCAATGGTCAAGAGATGGCGCTGTAGTCTCCTGAATCGTGCTTTGGTTCCGTTGTTCCAGATTAATAAATACTTTTGATAGGCCTTCACAATGCAGTCGTTAGCACCCACTAAATAGAGATTCTATTTCTATTTTGTTGGTAGATTTTCTTAATGTGCGGTAAACACAAAAGTAACAGCATGAAGATGGTCGCTAAAGCGACCAACTTCATGCTGTTAAAATTTTGTGTTAAAGTGATGCGCGCGCATCTTAAAATTTCACTCTCATCATTTTTTCATAACGCGCCTAAAGAAGTATAACTTCAATAAATAAAATTATAAGGTGTGATACACTAAAAATCTAAAATATGGTTATCTTAAAAACATAACAAAAATAATGAAGCTACTGAATATATGGCTATAGAACCTAAATCTCTTAGCTTTCTTTGGTTAAGGAGAGTTTAAAAATTCTCTCTAATCTGTGGCTCATTCACAATCATCACACAGTTTCTGTCACAGAGTACTATATTATAACCGGAAATGACACCTGATTTTAAAAGTTACTCTTATGCATTAACTTTAAGAACAGGCAACTATCTGTTAATGTACATGCTCTATATACCTGAATCTAATCCATAATTTCGGTACTTGGCTTGATTTCCCGAGTTTACTATATAACTTATTTGTTTTTTATTATTTTAATATTTTCAGTGTATATGGTTAATAGAAGTTCTCAGGGGTATCCGTCAATAATATTCGTTTCTACAGTAATTTATATATAATTTCGAATCTAGGAAACAATTTTTCATGATTATTGGTCTTTAGGCTAAACATGTATGGAAGCTGAGCAATCTCCTTTTTTAACTTCTTCAGGATGTCCATCAAGTCATTTGATGACTTACTGGCTCTCATTAGCGATGAACTCGTAGCAGATAGAAACGCTGTGCGATATTGCATTTCACCAGAAGAAAAACTCATAATTACATTGAGGTAAGTTTTTTATTAATCGACATATCTATAAATCTATGAAATCAAATCAACTTGTTCAGAAAAGAAATAAAAAAAATCATTTTGTTAATCGCAGAATAACTCTAATTCCGATGCACTGCTAACAGTTGGTGCTGGCGAAGGAGTGTGTGTTACAGGCGATCCCATTGCTGTAGTATAACCATAATGTGCTAAATTATTTGGCACACTAGATTGCTGTGATTGATAATGTTGAAAGTCTTCAACAGAAGCTTGATTACGCTGCTCTTGTGACAAATAATTTCTTCGTTGTGGTACCGGGTTACGATAGTATTGATTTTCAAATGTCTGATGTTGCGGTCCTTGAAGGATATTTTGGTTTTGCAAAATTAAATTATAAATGCCAATTTTAGTCTGAAGTCGTCTATATTCCGGATTTTTTTTAATCTCTTTAACTAGTGACAAACAAAGCATCTTGTCTTCATCATCATCATCTTTTGGATGTGAACCATTTTTCTGTGCTATACTCTGCTCTAATATGCTTGCAAATCTTTCGTCAGCAGAGCTTATTTTTAGTTCTTTTCTTGGAGTAGATTTAGGGCTCTTAAGGGCAGAACTTACTCCTACTTCAGCAACTTCAGACGAAGTTGATGTATTATCTGCATCGAAACTACTTTCAGTATCGTTGTCGGCTATAGTTGCCTGCACAAATTGTAGTCTATTATAATGAATATAAGACGAAGTTTTGAAAGCTCCTGATCCCGATTTAACAGTCTTCATTTTCTTCACCTCTCTCATAAAATTATCTCTTAGACTCTTCCATTTCTTTTGCAGGGATGACGCTGAAAAAAAAAACAGTATTTAGTCATAGTTTATTTTTTATTTTTTTTTATATTAAAGGCGGCAAACGAGCTGGCGGGTCACCTGATGTTAAGCAATCACCGCCGCCCATGGACATCTGTAATACTGGAGGCATTACAGATGCGTTACCGACTTGTCTTCGGGAGGGGGAGAATAGCATGAGGGAGGAAAGGATGGGGAGGGGGGAGATTGGGCGTCCGGCACTTATGTTTATGTTCTTTTCAGATATTTGGCCACAGGATGTTCACTTGGGACATTAAGCTACGATTATAGAATTGGCAAATCTACTGCGGCTACCATAATACCACATGTATGTAAAACTATTTGAAGAAAATTGAGACCCATTGTTATGAGTGAACCAACGAAAGAAAAGTGGTATGAAATATCCAAGATATTTTTGAAAAGAACTCAAAGTTTCCCCATTGTTTGGGAGCCTTGGACGGGAAACATATACGGTTAATCCAGCCTGAACACTCGGGTTCCATGTATTATAACTACGAAAATTATTTTTCGCTAGTTTTAATGGCGCTAGCGGATGCAAACTATTGTTTTGTGTGGGTTGACATAGGTGCCTACGGTAAAAACAGTGACTCTGGTATATTCAAGAACTCTTCATTGTACAAAAAGCTGACAGAAAGGTCATTAGACCTACCTGAGCCAAAGGAATTGTTAATACAAAATAGACCGACTGTGTTGCCATATGTGATAGTGGCTGATGAAGCTTTTGACATGATGGAGAATTTAATGCGGCCATATGAGGGAAGGTCACTAACTTACGCTAAAAAAATATTTAATAACCGTTTGACATTAGCACGCCGGCATGTTGAATGTACTTTTGGAATAATGTGCAATAAATGGCGCATTTTACATAGGCCGTTAGATGTTAACGTCGGATTTGCAGAAAAGATAGTAAAAGCGATATGTACACTTTACAATTATGTCGGAATGAGTCATGTCCCAAATCGCAGGACGTTTCTCTATTTCATCTATAAATAATTCTGTATTAAAAGCTTCGGTTTCCATTTCGGACGATTTCTGGACGGATTGACACCGAAGAACCCTAAAAACACGTCTATCCGCGGCGAAACGCGAAAGCGCGCGCTCATCTGAACGGAGATATAAGTGGTGTACACATTAAGCGTTTTCCAACGCGCGCTTTGCTAACGCGCGTTTCGAGAACCAGGAGTTCTATTGAAGTGTACACATGCAAGCGCGCGATTCTGGTTAAGCGTGCGTCAAACGCGCGTTCTCATATTTTACGTATGATCGCGCGTTGCGCGGGCGTTAGCTGCGCGCTTCGAGATACTTGGGCCGCCATTTTGTTGTACATTTGATCGCGCGCTTTGGTGTAGTGTAGACGTTAGTTCAACGGAAAAATGGACACCGAACATTTTGACACAGATTTCTTTATTGATGAAATCCAAAAGCGACCAGCTATTTGGGACATGAAATGTCCCGATTATAAAAAAAATACGACGCTAAAAAGACGTAAAATAAAAAAAAATACGCCGTCTTTTATAGCGACGGTAGAGGAGCCACACACAAGTAATCACTTCGGCATCCATTTTCGTACTGCTAGAAACACACCCTACTAAACGCTCGCCGAACGCCCAGCCGAGCGCGGCGTGTGTATGCAATCAACGCGCGCTCAACGCAACGCCGAGCGCCCAATGTGTACCCGCCGGAAAACCAATGATCTCAAAGCGCGCGTTGACGCGCGCTGACAACTGTCCAGCGCTAGCGCAGCGTTCAACGCGCGCTTTATTAAAACGCGCGTTAGCATGTGTACAGCCTGAATAAAATGTATGTAGTTGTAAACGCGCGTTATCAAAACACGCGTTGAGCGCTTGTCATCTGAACTGCTCTTAGGGTACGGAATTCTAAAAAGTCCCCTAAACATACCTATTAATACATACAAGTTGGACCAAAGAAATGTTGCGAAATACTGTGGTTGACAAAATTTGCTAAACAAGCTCTGCTCTTATTTCATTCACTTGTCTAAATATTTAATAAATAGGTTTTGTGTGTAATGACCAATGTCTGATAATTCGGATATATGTCAAATTTTGCTAAATATAGTATATATATAGTGCATTCTTGTCAAAATTTGGTCTTTTTTTCAATAAAAGTAGTTTAAACTTTATGTTTAAAAAATTTACTCATTAAGCAAAAAACCATATATTATTTTATTACCTAGCAAAAACATCTAGAAAGAGGTCACAGGTTCAACTGTAAAATTTATGTTCCTCGAAATCATTTTCGAAGTCACAACTGCTTCCCATTTAAAACTCAATATTTTACGTCGTAAATATTCGGATTTATGGTTCGTAATCTAGACACATGTCAAACAAATTGTTGACACCTTAAATGTCGAGGGCCTGCCTCTTATATAAAAAGTTTACAAAAAGAAATTATGTGTCACTCACGAGAGGCACTGAAGGCCAAAGTAATATCTTTGGTATCGTGAGCTACCTTTTTTTATGTCGGGAAAATTAGCAAAACGTGGGACCAGCGCAAGGGTTTGGTGAAATGAGTATAAATCAGTAATAATCAGACAATACTCCTACACCGGTCACTCGGACACGCACTCTAAGGATCGCAGTCAGGCATGACATTTGTAATTCGATGAACAAAGATAACAGGCCTCTAAATAAAAGAGATTAAAAAAAATAAGACACTGTGTAACTAGTTAAGGATTACGAATATAACCTGAACTGATACAAATGATAATTTTTAGTAAGTATAATTTATATTCTGAATTAATTATAAAAAAAACCTTCTGCTTTTATTTTTTTCTGCTTACTACAAAAAATAGCATTAATTTATTATAATTTTGATTCAATCGTAAAATCCAAAAATCGTAAACATTATACACATGATGGTTTAACAATACCTAAGTATGTGGTTCCGGGTGTGACGTCATCAGAAGTTGACCGAGATTTAGCGCCAGCTGCCAGGTGCAAGGACGTAACGGTCGACTACATTAAAAATACACAATTTACTAATTTTATACCTTTATACCTACAGAATAAGGTCGTAGTGAAAACGTTGCTACGAAGGAGCCACGCAACCCAGATATGCTGATTTAAATTATTGAAAAAATTAAATTCTGTTTAGAAGGACTATCGTTTCGATATACATAAATACTAACAGCCATTGATTGAATTTAATCATCACACGTGTGCTATTCCGTAGAGGTTGTGACGCAAGGAAATTCTATTGAGTGTTTTTTTTTCTACGAACATGAAGGATATGAATATTTCTCAGGAATTTGTTTCGATAAGACATGTTTTTGTCTAATCCCTCAAAGGTCATATTTTAAAAATGTAAGCTATCATTTATCAGAATATTTTAATTATATTCAGTAGTAGAGTCGGAAAACTATTTGAATGTCGTCCATATATTGTTCATATTGGTATACAATCTATAGAGAGTGGAGGTGTAGTTATCTATCACTCTTGGGGCACAACCCATAAAAGTTGATGAAATGTAAGCTTGTATTATCCTTGACACATTTGGTATTGGACGAAAATATGTTGGTATATGTTAGAAATAACATGACAAATTGTTTGCTTATTATAATAGTGCGCCAAACTTCCCCGTCCGCAGATTGATTAACTTACAAGAAATTGGTTGGTGACTGTAACATTTTATGTTAAATGTAAGTTTTTGTATCCTATGCTCACGTTCTTCAAAACACAAACAAATTAAAGTATTTTCTTATTATTTTCATTAATGTTGTTAATGTTGTTTAAGTAGTTGTTTGCATTTATCGGAAACAGGTTAATAATATTATTTGTGTACTTAAAATTTAGTTGTACATATTTAATAAAAATTATGATTTCATTCAGTTTTATTGCAATCATGATGAATGTTATTGTCCATTTGATTGTTGTTATGTTCCAATGTGTACACTTATCAAAAGTTGAGCATTTTAACGTTACGATCAAGATCAGGACACTTGATGAATTTTAACAACGAACAACGCTTTTAATCTCAGTGTCTCATATAAATGCGTTATCAATATCAAACTGTATTTAACAACGTTTTTTCGATTGTACAAGTTAGCTATGTAGTCGGATATCGGAAAATTATCAAATCGTAAATAGAAACATGAACATACCTACCTAGCAACTAAAACAGCTGGTCCATTAAAATGATACGTAGATTGATTTGCATAAATAATAGCGCCGGGTTATTCCGACTACCAGAAACAGTTACTTGGCAAGGCCGTTCCGACAGACGTTATACAAGTTACATGGCTGTGAATACATTAAATCTTGTTTACCTTTAAATCATTATAGTTATTGCTGCTTTTCTGTCGTTATTATTTACTATATTTACAACTAAGCAATACAATTTAATCAGAAAATGTGGATGTCCTTAATATATATATTATTTAATAATAATACTTCATCCAACGTCATTATTGACAACACAACAAAACTTATATTTCAGTCAAATCGATCGAACTGTACTCAAGTAATGCGTAATGCAATCATATAAATAAAAATTATTGCTTTCTAATTATGCCACATAATATTTATTTCTGTGAATTATACACTATTTAGTGACCCACCCTCACTTCAACACGGTATAGACCATGGTATTAATTTTCGGGGTTGTATAAACATTTCTTCTAAATGTATTGCGTGGTTTAAAATTAGTGGACATACACAGACATATATTATTTTTTTGTAAACTGTTTAAAGATTAATAATTTATCATTCGGGTTAACAGATAAATAACAATATTTTGCCGGTCTGAAACCAATCTCCAACAGGCACGGAAACCTCTACAAAAACACAACACTACAAAAAACTTTTATTATTCTTATATAGGAAAGTAATGGTTACTTCCCTCACTTTGAAATGTACTATCTATAGATATAAAAAATGGTAGGAAAGTCAAAACTGTACAGTGAATATTTTTTTAAA